CGCCCCGCCCCACCAGCCCCGGCCGTTCGCTAACCGGGGGCTGCCTTCCCGTCCCGGGGTAATGGTGCGACGCCCCACAGGGGCCGGCGTGTCTTGCTGCCGCGTCTTGCCGCCGCAAGCTCGGGCCTGGCCAGGAGGGACCGCAAGCCGCTAAACCGGCGCCTATGGCCCTGGCGTTATAAGCAGAGTCGGGGCCGGGCGAGGAAGCCATAAAGAAAGGGCTGAATGCGCCCCAGTGCTCATCTGTCTGCTCAGCGGGGCGTCTGCCCCCCAGCACACTACGCCTATGTACCATCTTTGCAAGGTCACCAACTCTGACATTGTCAAAACCGGTGACTTCTACAGCAACTACTCATCTCTGGTCTAGATTTGCTTTTAAATATCTGTGAGTGATACTCTCCTCCCTCTGTCAGATGCATACCTGTACAGAAAGAAGTACAATGATTTTTCTTGTCCCAAATAGCACGTTAAATCAAATAAGGGCACACATGTACTTCCTTTATCGTATTTCACTTGCACAGCTGTGCAATAAAAAGTTCAGAGGTTAGCTGTAAAATGAGCTAAAGGGTGACATAGCTATGCTGTCATGTCACAGGATGGGACTATCTGTCCAGGCGCTGCAGGGCAGTAAGGGACTTTCTCATAAGCATCTTCCTACTTTTACAACCTGATTTTCGGTTGCATTTCTTTCAAAGCTACCGCTGCCAGCTCTGAGGTTCTGTCAGGTGGACTTATTAGGATTAGCAGCAGTGGCTTGGTCAAACTTTTGCCTGTGTTACTGCAGTTTGCCTGCTAAAGCCATCTGTCACATCTTTTCTATGCAGCATTCTTGAGTTCCTCATCAAGTCTGCTATGCCGTTTTGTAATCCTTCACGTGATACTAAAACAGTGATATTCTATATGCTTTATGCATCATTTGAACTTCAATTGTGAAGAACTTTTTTTTAATATATATAATTATGTAGAGCAGAATCTCACACTGTGAACATAGAAAGCTGGATGCTATTGTAGTCAACCATACTGCAAGCCCTAAAACAGCTTTATCACATGCTGCAGCAGCAGCATTACTCTACAGCAGCCAATACCTCTGGCACTCTGTATTAAGCTGCTAACAGCAATCCTGCAAGTCACTGTCAACTCCAAGGGTATTTTCAGCTAATTCTCCTAACACTTGTGAGAAAGGTCAATAGGCAGCCTCAGAATACAGCTACAGACCAGACAGCTAGAAGAGGAAGAGAGAAAACACTTTGGGATTATTGAAATGTTTTCTTAGGCAAATACTTTTGTTGGTTACTTTGTGATTTCTGTATGCATTTTTTATCTTGTGTTCTTGTATGGTTTCTTTCTTTGCTCAAGATTGCTTGTTAAAAAGCATTTGGGAACTATTAAGAGGGGTAGGTTGGACATAGAAGCTTATTTTCATTGAGGGAAAGAAGAATCACAGTTTTCCTTCCCTGTCTTACATTTTTTTTAAGAAAATGTTGGCAGGATGTTATGTGATGGAGGTGAGAGCTGTGATGGATTTAGGGCTGCTCTGTAAACCTTTAAATATATTCTCTTGTGTTTCATCACTATGAAAGATGTGTACTGTGTTAGTATGTTGTTTCAGTGTAATAGCAGATTTAGATAAACAAATAAAAGGAGGAAACAAACATCGGGTGAGAATATGCCTCAGCAAATATTTCTGAGGTTGTCAAAAAGGATGTTAAGTCTAGACAAAACTGACTCTGGCCACCGGGCCCGAACATATTAGCTGAGACAACAAGGAGCATCTGTGGACTGTCCTTAAATGTGGCTAAAGCTAGGAGTGTGTGTGAAAGGGAAGAAAACTGAAAGCATGCCTGTCTCTCTTCCAGAGGTTAGGAGACCTGAGAATGAAGGCATTTACTAGATCAGTAGATGTACTAAGGCAGAATAAAGCTAATTCTGAACTCTGCTTGCTTATAATCTGTTTTTCCCCAATTATCATTCAACAATATTTTAAGGAAGTTATTTGGATATGACAAAATAATGTTTACTGCTGGTCATAACTGCTGGAGTTGTGCCCAGTTCGATCTCCTGAACAAGCGCAGTCACTATGCAGGGTACTGCAGAGCAAATATAAGAGCAGAGTGCCAGGGCACTCAGTGCATTCATAAGCCTTATGTGCCCTCACCTGGGGCACCTGCTGCTGGCCTGAGCTGTGTTGTAGGAGGGCCTGTGCCCAGCCATGTCCTTCACTTGGTGACTGGCTTGACTTCGGGCCTGACTTGTCACTTTGCTTTTGCTTGATGGCCAAACCATTACTGTCCCCAGTTCTGCTCTGCTTGCCTCGCTCAGACACCATGGGATCTTGTGCTGCTGTGTGGTGTTGTCATCCCTGGCTCCAGGCTCACCTTCCCTCATGGAGGAGTCTCAGTCCCACTGCTCTCTAACACGGAAAGTCACTGATGTGCCTGAGTCCTTCTTGCCTCCTCTCTTGAGTGCAGAGCTGGGAAAAGAGGGATGCTGAGTTCAAAATAATGTAACCTTCTGAAATGGAAATACAAAATGAAGGTCCACACCAAACTCACTCGAGGCTATAGGAAGAGAGATGAGATGAAGGAGAGTGATTAAGTTAAAAACTGAATGGAGGCAGGGAGAGGAGTGAGTGTAAGTGTAGAAGCCAATTAGCGTGGGGTTTGGGACATAACTGTGGAAATGTTCAGCAGGAACATTTCACAAGGAAATCTCTGCTTGTGGTATGTATATGCAGAAGCAGATGGGATCAGACAGTGATGATCAACTTTTCATATGCTTTTTAAATTCAAAGAATTTTAAAACTCTAATGGGTTCATGAGGTGGGAGGGAAGGGATGAAACAGAAATAGTAGCACGGAGGGGTTTATGTATAAATGTATGTAAGTACAGCTATGGGATTGAGGTGTGGGTGAATGTGTTGAAAAGGAGAGATCTGATGTGCTTACAATTAGTGGGATCTTCATCTCAGAACAATCAAGTGATGGCCCACTCTGGCTGCTGGCATTCCCATGCCTCTTCCCTAACAGGGCCATCCATGCAACAGCTCCCTGGAGACTCTAGGGACCTGTACCTGTGGGAGATGAAGGTGTATACAACTGATAGTGGACATCCAGGAACCCAAGTGCTCACACTGATTTGGACAAGTGAGGGGGAAGAGGATACAGGAATGCTGAGTGTCAGAGCAGATGGAGAGGTTCCACATGAGTGCTGATGGCCAGAAAACATATTTTTAAAAATTTCTGCTTGTCTTTTACTCTAGTGTAGAATGTCTATGTTCCTTTTAATTTTATCTTAATGGATATACTCTTAATAAGTTTTAAAAATGGACTCATGCCCTGGGATTATAGAGCAGAAAGAGCTAGGAACCCTCATGTTTGTTTACTGCACAAATGGGTGCATCCTGCTGCTATTGGTGTGCGGCGGGCAGAGGAAGCAAGCAGCCGATTCAATGTGAATGATAGAGCAAGCTTCAACTTCATTGAAAGAAATCACACCTTATATAAGCACTCTACAATACACTACTTGCAACTCTATTGGATACATTTAAGAAACTACATTATAATATCTCAGCCATTGGGTACATCTAAAAGGTCACATTATAATATCCCAGCCCCTTGTGGCATTTCTGGTATGCATAAACATCTTTCTTGCTTTGAACATGTTTCCCTCCAAGGGCTGTTTTTCTCTCACCCCCAAGGTCATAATGCGCCCCAACTTATCTCTTTGTTCCCACAACAGTCCCTGTTAGCATCACTGAGCCTTGAATCTCCTTCCTTATTAGTATAACTGTACCCTGGGTTTTTTCCTCTGTTTATCTCAGGTGGCTGTGACCGACTTCTGCAGGGAGCTATGGCCGACCAGCTCTTGCAGGGAGCTATGGCCTTGCTCTCTGCAAGCCGTTCTCCAACATTGGTGTATGTTAGTTTCTCAGGGCCCTTTGAGGCCATTTGCCTTAACGCTCCTGGAAACCTGCAGAGCCAAATGCTGTTTCCTTCACACATGCCTGGTATCCATCCAAGACACTGGAGATATTGCTTAGGAAGGCTCACACTTGTATTGTTGTCATCCTCTGAACAGTCATGCCAAGAATGTAGTCAGGAGATGGCCAATAGGTACATTCTGTCCAAAAGTGCCTGGGCAAATCCGTAAATGCCTTGGAGATGAAGGTGAGCTCTTTCTCTGTGCTCTGTGACAAACTTAATCTTGATTCAAGCTGGTCCTGGTAAACAGCGTCAATTTGTATGTAAACGATTTCTCTTGTGTTTCTGGTCTCCCAAGGGGTTAAGTATCCCTGGAATGCTTTTAAACATGGGCCAGCTAGTTTCTTGCCAACAACCTCTCTATGTGAGAGCAATACAGTTTGCTTGCATCTGACAACAGAAAAAGTCTTTTGCATTTAAAACAATGAAGTATTTTTGTGTGTGTATTTTTACAATGTCTGTCTTGTTTTCTGTACTTGCTGTCCTTTGGGAATTCCTCTAACTCCATTGCTTCTTTCCTTCTCTCCCAGCCCACTGGATGTAACAGGGAGACCTTTCATATTCTGGGGCAGGCTGGGAGTCCCTCACATACTGCAAATCAGTTGTCAGATCATGGTTAGAAGTTGGATGGAGAATACATATTAGAGCGGTGGATCTGTCTCCAGGATTAAAAGAATCATCTGGGAAAGGTCTGGGAAGTCTATGGATGGGACCTGGTATATGCATTGGGCAACTGCCAGACTTGCCCTGGACTGACTGCTAGCCAGAAAAGCAGATTCCCTTTACCTCATTTGCTTCACCTGAACCAGCAATGACGGG